TTGTCTATCTGGTCTGTAGAACGTTCTAGAAGCTGTCTTCTGTCCTGCACCTTCCCCTGATGCTTATACTCTCTTTGAGCCCAACAAATACTATCCATCTACCCAATTCGATCGCTAGTCTGATATGTCTAGCAGATGTCGTGTAGAAACTATGCCAATCATAGACAGACCACATGCGCTTATGTAAAAATATCCCCGGTTTTTGCGCTAAACCCGAGGAACCGATTGGCTCCCGGACATGGGTCGACGTTGTGGGCCGGCCCTCCTGCGGCCCCTAACCTTATTTCAAACATCCCTGCGCATCTTGATCATGTCTCTAGCGATAGAGAATCTTTCTAGTATCGCGTTGGTCCAATGTCCTGTACATGAGCAGGTTGAGACTGGTGATTCTATGCCAATTCTCTGGACTTTTCTTTTAGGCTGTAGGACTTAATCACGAGCGACCTAGAAAACAAGTTGGGGCAGAAATTTGTAGATAAGCTTTTCTCGTCGATCACTCATGACAGCCGCATTCTCTCACCGAGTGAGTGACTGTTTCCATGGTTCATCGAAATGCTATTTCAGGGGTCAGCGACTGATCGACGACCCTGGTAATGTTCCACCGTGTTTGGGGTAACTTTTGTCAAACCATGACCTTGTAACTCCCTCGCTATTGTTGTGATTCTATTGTTGGGATTCCGAGGATTGATGCTTGTTCATATTTTGAAACTAGCAACCACTTAGATATCTATCATGTTGCATCTTGATTGCTCAGCTGCCACATCTTCCGTTTGTAGCATCATCCAACAACACTAATTCATCGAGATAGTTACTATGGTTGCTTGGCGATCACAATGTAGCGCATATGCCAGCGAACTGCTGATAGCATGGACGTTCCGCGCATCGGTGTCTCAGCTTCCTGGCTGCAGAGACACGATGTACGTAGTCCCAAATCTGCGATGACGATCGTGTTCCTTTATGCCGTGACGTACGGAGTAATGACATCGCGCGTCCTGTGATTGATGATCAGGTTGTAACAAACGGTGGAAGAAGGTCAGCTCATACCTCGTCTCCAACCTTCCGTCTTGGTTGATTCAATGCTGTCGATATGGCTAGGCTCGGCCGTTAAGATTGTTTGAAACCACTTTCCAATGTTGATTTGCGCAGGCCTTTTATTTGGGAGAGTTGCCAATGAAGCCCTACGGCCGACCGAGCGATGAACAGTTCCTGCTCGGTTTCGATTGCCTGAATGCTTAGGCGATCTGGCACCAGTGCCACGTTGCTTGCGCAAGATATGGTACATTTTCCCTCGTAGAGACTCAACGCTTCGGTCCACCTGATATTGTTCATAATATGCGTCGGAGCGGGCTTTCCACGACAGCGCCCGATGGGCGTCCAGCCAGGAGAGAAGGTTCTTCTCCTCCCATTCCGACCAGACTACCTCGCTTCGAGTAGACATAGCGCTCGCATGAACTAACAGGAACCAGGGAGACCTTTTCAGGCAATGGCACGACTTGAACTCCGCATGGATGGGAAAGGTGAGCCTAAATCCCCTCCAGGTCCCGGTAAAAGCTGACATAGTACCCTTGGTTCATCAGAAATCTTCTAAAGGCTTGTGACATGACCCATGGACCACTCTGGACAGTCGATTCGGTCAGTCTGAGTTGTGTACTATCGACTCCGTATTTCAGAATCCCTGGGACTCCCAGCGTTCGAACAAATTCAGAGCCACAAGGACGACCAACCTTCAGTTTCGTACTTTTAAATATCTTGAAGACAATGACTGTATGTGGAAATGAACGTAGCAATGAGTTTTCAGACTGGGCCCCACCGGGTACTGAGTAATGTAACAAGAAACAGACTTTAGAGGCAAATATTTTACCTTCCGATGAAGTCCTTTCCACTAAACTTGAATGACTTTCGTGCCTGATTGGCTAGAATGTATTCCAAATCAAGCGACAATTGGAGTAAGTACGGAAGATAGTGGGCCTTGCAAACATCGATCGCAAGCTCCGGTTTGGAGAACAAACTCATTTTAAAAGCCTGAGCGACTTCTTCTGTACCATCCGACTTGCAAACTCGTTATCTCGCCTTGACTCAGATTCAACTATGGGTGGAATCCGAAAACTTCCGTTGACTGATCAACGACAAAGCTTTCGGAGACGATTACAACGTGCACTGTCCCTGTCATCCTCCGGGTCTGAGGATATCTGGATTCCGTCCAGATCTGCGGCGGGGGATACTACAGAGGACGAGTGTTCTCAGGAGGACGACTCTTTTGGCAACGACCGCAATGGAATCACAGTGGATGATGGCCAGGAAAGTCTTCTGCCCACCTGGAGTACGGGCCCGACACCAGACGAAGAACTGGAACAACCTGGACAGGATCTTTCCGAGAACTGCAATATGATCGCCTTCCAATGCCTTGCAGAGTGAGTGTCAATCAGCTCCCTTGGAATGGTGTTTGTGGTATGTCTGCTTACCGAATTTAGACTAGATGTCCGAACCAAGTCAGTCGTACCATCCACCAGGGAAAGAGCAAACAGTGATTATTTTCCAGGTCCATGCAGAATTCATTGAATAACCAGAACAGCTGGATTGGAAACATTCGCAGTGATCTGGAGGAAATCCGCAGTCGGTTGGCGGTTGTGGAGACGGCTATTGAAATGAGGGCCAAAGAGGGGGAGAACAATGCTACTGAGGGTGATACATCTAGACGATCGCTTCGGTCGCAGAAGTGATTCAGATCGAAATATGATGGAATTAAGCCTATACCCTAGAGCCCGATGTCAGCCTTGTTAGCTGAGGTATATTATTCCGTGGTGCTTTGCGAACAATTATATTTCACCTCGGCAGACTCTCGCTTGAAGTTGTATATAACCGCAGCCCTGCGGGAGGTCAGAAGAGAAAGCGTCGATAGAAATACGGTGTGACAAGATGACCTTCCTGTCCTGGCCGGCTGGAAGTCGCAACCTGATACGATAAAACATGCGATTAAGGTTTTACGGGAGTTCAAACCCCTGGCGATCATTTCAAGTCACACCGGACCTACCCGGGATGTGCGCCCTGCTGCTAGCCACCTTTAGCGGCCCTGGAGCATTCTCTCTTCCGTCCAACTGGCGGAGCAAAAGTCTGATCATTTAA